CGACCTAATGTTCGCCTGCGCGCTCAGGTGCGGCCCCCAGGAGCCGCGCACCACAAAACATGTCAATCTCGCCCGTGGTCCCTCCTGCGTGTGGCCGACGGCCTCCGAAGGGGGGGGGCCGCTGTCGAGCCGCAGGGCCGTCGTGAGTGGGTCTGGTCTAGGCCTCCTAGATGGGGTCGGAGAAGATGGGGTCGAGATCCTCCGACCCCATCGAATTTGGTATTCTGCGTGCTGGGAGCCGCCCGACGGCCTCCTATAGGGTTGAGTCGGGCGTGTCCCTCTACGGGAGGAATGTCCCAAGATAGTCAATAAAATAATATGGGGACGATGTTTTGACTAGTTTTAGATTACTTGTGAATATCGTTTGACTTTGTCTAAAGAAAAGTCGTCCAAAAGATCCGCCGACCCCATCTAGGAGACCCCTATCTGGGGCCAGACGCTACCCCCACGTGGGAGTGGTCGGGGCCTCCTTGTGGCCACGGATGGGCCGGGTCTCCAGGGAGGGCCGGCGGGCTCAAAGGTCAGTTCTTCGGGCTCGAGGTGTGGATTCGTAGGGGTTCAGAGGTCAGCTCTTCGGGCTCACAGGTCCACTCTTCGGGTTTCGAGCCCCGTAGGGGTTCAGAGGTCAGCTCTTCGGGCTCACAGGTCGACTCTTCGGGTTTCGAGCCCCATGGCTGTCGTGAGTGGATCTGGGGCCAAACGTTAGCCCCCCGTGGGAGTGGTCGGGGCCTCCTTTCTAGGCCTCCCAGGTGGGGTCGGAGCTGATGGGGTCGGAGGATCGCGCCGCATCGCCGAGGCATCGCCGATGCGTCGGCGATGCGGCTCGATGCGGAACCAGATTTTCTCCGCGCCGGCTTCGCCGATACGCCGCCAACGTCGCCGATGCATCGTCGAGCCGCATCGTCGATGCATCGTCGATGCATCGGCGGCGATGCGGCGAGATCCTCCGACCGCGTGTACTCCGACCCCATCTCGGAGGCTATTCTTGTGGCCACGGATGAGCCGGGTCTCCAGGGAGGGTTGGCGGGCTCAAAGGTCAGCTCTTTGGGCTCGAGATATGGCCCCGTAGGGATTCAGAAGTACCGTCAACGACCACTTTTGGCTCAGCAGGGGCTCGGGTGTTTTGACCGCTCCTTCCGTTGAGGTCGGGCGTTGCCGAGGTTCGTTGTGGTCAGAAAAAGCCCCTTCGTTCCTTACTTGGCGTTCCTCATGGTAACACGATAGCTGTAGCCCCTGGGCCGGGTGTGCCGGGTGCAAGGCCAAGGGAATCAGGGTTGATTGAGCGTGGGTAGTTTCAAGTCGTTTCACGGGGTGATAGTTTATGTTCACGATTGCCCTCTGCGCTCATGCATGTTGTAGTACAGATGTATTTTTGGAAATGCTGCAGATGTACCTACACAACGTGAATTAACTTCTGATCAGCGTGTGGCGCTGCCGGTTCTGGCCCACCACGCCTCGGCACGGAACGCTAACCAAGTCCCAGTCGCCAGGCGTCAACGTCCCGAGCTTTTCTCAGCCTCCCGCTTGGCGGAGCGGAGCGACACGCTGTCAGCTCGCAGGGCATAGCGAGTCGTTGGAGCCGTTGCCGCGACACACTATGCACAAGTTCCTGCCCGTATACATACATATATATGTATGTTTTATGCATTGTAGGAAGATAGTGAGCGAGAGAGGAAAAGAGAGAGCGAGCGAGTCCGGTGGTTTCGCAGCCTCTTCAGGCGTTCGAGGTGACAGGATTGGGTTCATATATAAATATATATATATTACACCTGAGAAAACCCAATCAGTGGATGAATCGAACATTTATACTATGGATCTTGAGATCGATTGTGAGATCGATAGTGATATCGATAGGGTAATCGATAGTGAGGACGATTGTAAGGTCGATCGTGAGACCGAGAGTGAAATCGATTCAATGAGATCGATTGTGACACCGATCGCGAGATCGTTCATGTGATCTCTAGTGAGATCGATAGTGAGATCGATAGTGAGATCGATTGTGAGATCGATGGTGAGATCGATCGAGAAGTCGGTATATACTGAGATCGATGGTGAGACCGATCGATAAGAAGATCGACCAGGAACCCGGAAACCGGAAACCTCGCCGCCCTCCGAAATCGGCCCGGAACCCGGAACCGGGAATCCGGGAACCCGGAACCGAGAACCCGGGAACCCAGCGTGCGACGAACATCGGCGGGGCCATTTCGCCAAATCTTTCAACATCCTCGAGGACCCCTTCAGTGCAAGCACTGATTGGGGAATGAGATCCGTAATGAACTCGACAGTGAGATCGGTAGTGAGATCGATAGTTGACCATTGGCCCGGAACCAATGATCAGGAACCCGGGAACCCAGAACCAGAAACCCGGGAACCAATGAGATCCGTAATGAAGTCGACAGTGAGATCGGTAATGAACCATCGGGAACCCGGAACCGGTCCCAGGAACCCAGCGTGCCACCAAAATCGGCGAGGTATTTTCGCCCACTCTAGCAGCATCCGCGGGGGCCCCTTCAGTGCAAGCACTGATTGGGGAATGTAGATACGATTCCGAGGTGAACGACATGTGCAAAAGTTGAGGGCTCGACGCTGGAGGAGGCGCAGCGAACGGCAGCGGCACGAGATGTTGGATGATTGCAGGATGTGCCCACTTCGATCCGTCATTTCAGGCGGGTGCGGCATGACATACGCTGGGAAAACAGCATATCTACAGACCTCGGAAAAAATAGCGAACACACATGCCATATTCATCTGTCAACGCCTCCCCCTCCCCCCAATGTTCAAAGTTGGCGGTGGGTCTGATGAGTTGCACCTCGACCGCAGTCTCCCCCGCGCGTGCCAACTTTGAGTTTTGGGGGGGATGTTCAGTAATTGTTCCCCTCTTCCGTAACTTACCATAACAGTTCACGGCTGTGCATCATCGTTCGACGTCGACGGGTTTCGCCCGCTCCGCTCACTCTTGAGGCACGGGCCTGATGTACCATTTGACATGAGATGAGGCTACGGCGGTAGCGCTAGATCAAGGATCGCCATACCCTTGCACATGAACGTACCCCCTTGGAGGGGGGGTCTGGGGGGCGTGCCGGCTCCTAGGTGAACCCCGACAGTGTAATGCTACCGGGTCTGGCGGGCGGACCCTCTCGGGCGGATCGGACGGGGGGACCCTACCGGGCGAGACCGGCGGGCGGGACATACTGGCGGGCGGGCGGGTTTCCAACTGGACGGGTCGGGCTGGTGGTCATTCACAAGCGGGTCGGGCGGACGGGCTTTACTTGGCGGGTCGGGCGGGCGGGACGTCAAACCGCGAGGGCAAGCGTTAGCATGAGGACGTGGAGGAGGAGGAGGAGGAGGAGGAGGAAGAGGAGGAAGAGGAGGAGCCCTACATCTACGTCGCGATTATACTGTTGATCAGTGGGGGTGGGTGTGCGTTGGCGTGCGGCGTACAGACTCGTTCGACGCTCGAGGAGGAGCAGGAGGAGGTGGGGGAGGAAGAATCAGACGACGGCAGAAAGGGAGGAGGAGGAGGCACGCACTGCCCACAAGGGAGGGGGGGGAGGGGGGGGGGTCAGGAAGGGAAAGGGGCGAGAGGGGGGAAAAACGAGGGGGTGGGGGCCGATCTAAGGAGAAGCGGGGGTACCCTTTTGCACACGGGTGAGGTAAGACAGCCCCACCCGTGGGGGCCGATGCAAGGAGAAGCGGGGGCACCCTTGTTGCGCACGGGTGAGGGACCACAGCCCCGCCCGTGACCAGCGGCACGGCACACCCCCTCCCAAAAAATTGGCATCCGATCGAGCCTGATCGGTTGCTCGTGCCGCCTTGCGGGATTGAGCCTCTGCGCGAGCTTCCATTGCGCGCATGGTGATCGTTTTTCATTCATTGTGTTGCCGATCGGCGCGCCCCCCCCCCCCCCTCCCTCCCTCCCCCTCTGGAGTAGAGCTTGGCTGTTTCTTGCGCCTGTTTGGAGCGGGCGGAGTCTCCCCCCTCATGAGACGCACGATTCCAAGCAGTCGCACTCAGCAGAGGTCCGGATCCAGAACCCCCCTTCTCCCCCCCCTTTTCCGCCCAATCTCGACACGCCGAAATAAAAACGCTTACATGATCGGTTGCTCGTGCCGCCTTGCGGGATTGAGCCTCTGCGCGAGCTTCCACTGCGCGCATGCATGCCCAAAGTCTCCGCTTCAGCACGGCACTCGAAACAAAGAGCAAGCAGAATGGCATCGACACCCGGCACTGGGCACGGGCGCCGACGCCTCCACTATCGAATACTCCCGGACCCTCCAGGGCAGGAGCGCTCCCAGGCTCCTCGTCCTGCTCGTCCTCCTCCTCCTCCTCCTCTTCTCCTTCTCCTCCTTTTCCTCCTCCTCCTCCTCCTCCCCTCCTCCTCCTCCTCCTCCTCCTCCTCCTCCTCCTCCTCCTCCTCCTCCTCCCCTTCCTCTCTCCTCCTCCTCTCTCCTCCTCCTCTCTCCTCCTCCTCCTCCTCCTCCTCCTCCTCCTCCTCCTCCTCCTCCTCCTCCCCCAGCCATTTCCAGGTGTCGAGCTGATTGCTTCCCTTTTGGACCGCGCACTTGGAAGTGGCGCAGCGGTTCAGAGCCAACCGCGAGATCCCGATGAGTTCGGATGCCGCCTCCTTCACGAAGAAGACTTGGGTCTGTTCGCGCAAAGGATGCGGATTCGGCAACTTCATGTGGCGCAACCAGTGCCGTGATTGTGGACAGCGGGCGCCCCAGCGTGTGTTTAAGCAGTTACGGTTCCCTGACAGCACCGCCCCTTGGACAGCACCGCCTCCCCGAGGCAGCTGGGCCAATGGACCGCCGCGGGCCGCCCAGCCCCCTCCCTCCCACAAGGAGCTGGTCGTGCGCGCCATCAAAGAGTTTGCAGCGAGTTCTGGCAAGGATCTCACAGAGCTTCTACAACATGCGGAAGCCTCTCCTCCCGAGTCGCAACCGCAGCCTGCTGACCTCTCCTCCAAGAGCGTGGCTCTAAGAAGGAGAAGCAACTCGCAGCTGTTCAGGCCCGCGGGGCCGCCTGTCGCGGAGTCTCTCGCCAAGACTGAAACTGCGATCAGAGATGCTCAGGCCACGGCCATCGTGCCCGAGGTCAAGGAAGAAGAGGATGATGACCCCGCAGCCACTGCCGCCAGCCTCGAGGCCCTCTCGGCCCTGCTGGGCAAGGCTGCTACCCGATTTGGGCTCGACTTCACGGCCCAGTCGGTGGCTGTCGGCGCCAAGGCGGAGGAGGCCAGGGCCAAGCTCCAGGCTCGTGCACCTCCTCCAGCTCCTGCTGGGGCTCCAGGCGCTGCTCCTCATGGTGTTGGGGCCGCTGCTGCTGTCGGCGGAGCCCCTCCAGGTGACAGCCAAGATGCGACCATGTTCGACGCTAGTGCCAAGGTCGAGTTCGATCCCGAGGATGATGAGGTCACCACGGCATTTGCGGCCGCTGGTTTTGACGTCTCCGCCCTCAGCGCCAAGTTCAAGCGGCTGTTGGAAGCTCTCGGCAGCACTGCAGCCAAGAGGACGCGGTTGGGGTGACGACCTTCAGTTTGGCTGGTCTGGCCTTCAGCAGCCGCGGCACAATGACGCCGCAGCTGACGTTTCTGCCAAGTTGGAGCTGATGTCTGTTAGCTCTTCTCAGTGGCCTACCTGTCAGGCGTTCTTGGGGTGGCTGAAGCACGACTCTGACTTTGGTGTCCCGCACTGCCTCTGCCGCCAAGAGCACAGGATCAAGCAGGACGGCCTCTGGAGCTCAGCTCGGCGCTGGGCGGTGCAGCGCGGGCTGGGTATGCATGGTGGCCAGGCTGTGATCACTGGTGACGGGGTGCCCAATTCTTCTGGAGGTGTGGCCGTTCTCTCGCGGCTGCCAGCTGTAGCTGACGCTCAGCTGGCCACTCTGGACCTGCCGACCCATCGCGTGCACACGGAGAAGGTGAACATCGAGCTTCCTGCCCCGCTCTGCGTCATCTCCCTGCACCTGGTCACGTCGATCGGGCTCGCCAAGGGCAACCTTGACATCCTGGCGGCGCTGGTTGTTTACCTGGGGGCCTTGCGTGCTCCATGGGTTGCCCTGGGAGACTGGAACATGCTGCCCACGGATGTTCAGAGCTGGGCAAACAGAGTTCACGGAGTCGTGCTACGCCGCTTTCAGCCTACCTGTGGTGTTCGGGAGATCGACTTCGGGGTTTGCAGCGAGCTCCTGGCCAAGCTCGTTGACTCGGTAGGACTGATTCCCGCTGCGCCTGTGCAGACCCACCCTGTTGTCTCAGTCAAGTTTGTTGGCCTTGGTGCCAAAGCTACGGTCTGTATGCCGTTGCTGCCTCTGCTCTTTCCGATTGACAAGCCTCCGCCTGTGAGGCCTGCGCCTCGTGAAAATCGGCCCTGGTCCTGGGCGATTGGTGAGGCGCTCCCAGCTGACATCGGTGAGGCGTGTGCTGAATGGTCTGGGCATGTTGAGGCGTACTTAGCTCAGTTTCATGATCTGGCCGAATGGAGCCAAGGGCGATGGTGCGGCCGTGCCCAAGGGTTTCAGACTGCCGTTAAACCCTTGGAAGTTGCCTGGCGAGACTCGCTCAGGCAGCACACATCTGCGGAGTATAGATCCCCGTCCAGGTTCTACTCGGCGTGCTTTCGCTTGGTTGCCCTGGGGTCCGCTGTCAGAGGTCGACGAGAGCCCGACCTTGCTGCCCTCCGCAGACAGAGCCACACGGTAGCTGGATTTAAGCTTGCTCCCTGGCCTGACTCTGAGCCTCTCGGCGCTTGGGGAGGCAGACCTCTTTCTGACCTGGTTCAGCTCCTCTCTGACAGCTCGCTAGGCCTCATTCAGGAAGCCAATTCTATCTTGCAGGGGCTGCGGGGCCACCTCCAGGCTCTCCTGTTCAGGGACAAGCAGGAATGCGCCAAGGCCTGGAAGGCCTGGGCTCAGGCCGCGGCTCGGGAGAAGGGCGGCAGCGCGGCCTATCGGTTCGTTCGTGATAGTGTCGAGTCTTCGGTCGTCGTCTCGCAGCCTGAGGATGGTGGCCCCCCCCTCCCAGTTGCTGGCTCTCAGGCTCTCGACAGGATTTTGGAGGATTGGAAGCCTCTCTGGGTTGCTCCTAGTAGGATGCACGAAGCCTCTCCCGAGGCCTGGGACCTTGAGGCCCTCTGTCGTGACTCTGTTCTGCCCGGGCACGAGGCGGGTTTGAGCACCAGTTTGCCAGCAGACGGCGAACCTTCTCTTGGGGCGTCTAGCGCGATGCTCAACCTCCTGGAGCCCCTGCCGCCCCTTACTTTGGAGCAGCTCGATCGCGTCCTGGGGGCCTACTCGTCGACGGCTGGACTTGGCTGGGGCAAGCTGCACCCGCGTAACTTCTGTGGCTGCCTCCATCGCATCGGCAAGCTTTCTGAGGCATCTTACACGCTTGGGAGCGCAGGCCACATAGCGTTGACTTGTGGATGCTCCTGGTCTTCTCAAACAGTAAGCCCGCTGGAGGTGTTCGCCCTATCGTGCTTTATTCCTTGCGGTGCAGGGTATGGTCCAGGCTTCGCCAACCCGTTGCTCGGAACTGGGAGCGCTCCCTTGCCAACCCTGCCTTTTGGGGCGATTCAGGGCATACCGGTGACAGGTCAGGTCATGTTCACAATATCCTCCAGCGTTTCGCTCGCCTCATTAATTTCAGTGCTACTAGTGGGGTGCTGGACCTCAGCAAATATTACGAAATCATTTCCCACGAAGAACTTGTAAGAGAGGCTGTTGTCACAGGCTTCCTTCTTGAACTCCTGCAGTGCCTGTGCGTGGCGCGCTGGCTTCCGCGCAGGGCGGTGTGGGGCCATGCTGTTTCGGCACCCATCTCTGCTAATGGCACTGTTGCTGTAGGTTGTTCGTGTGCGCTGGCTCTCGCCAAATTGATTGACCCTCCTCACCAGGCTTCAGAGGAGGTTTCCTTCGGTCCGTTTTCAAAACCTCGTGGATGATTTTCTTATCCAGGCCGTCGGGTCCCTGGCGCAGGTTGTTAACCAGCTTCCTGATGCAATGATTGCCCTTTGTCGAGGGCCTTGAGCAGAAGCGTCTCAAAGTTGACCGAGACAAGACAGGGTTTCTGTCCAGTAGTCGCGATCTCTCGGATATGTTGTCGGCCAGGTGGTCTCTCAAGGAAGAAGACCGCCTGGTAGGTGCGCGCAACCTGGGCACAGACGCGTGGCTCGGCTCGCCGAGAGGCGGAGCAGAACAAGCGTTGGGCCAAGTCTCAACGAGTTGCGCAGAAAGTTGTGCAGCTCCGTGAAGCACGCGCTTCTGTCAGCACGATTACGAGGGGGTCTCCTGCGGCGACGGCGGTGCGGGGTTCGGCGGTGACGGGGTTATCGGATCACAAGTTGCATGGCCTGCGCGTTGCTGCCCTCGCGGCGGAGGGGCGGCTCCCTGCTGGCACGTCTGTCGGTCTGCGCTTGCGCGCGACGCCCGGAGGCGCCTTTCGCGATCCGTTTGTGGTCCACGCTGTTGAAGTCATTAAACACTGGGCCATTGCGGCCACCTCGGCTCTTCCTGGACGCAGGCCTCTGGAGGTCTGCTTGCGCGCTGGTCGCCCCCTTCTGGCTCGGCCCCACCCCTGGCTCAGGGCGTGGACCCTGCGTCCGCTCTTTTACTCTGCATGGCCATGATCGGTGTCTGCATGCCTTCTGCTTTCACCTTTCAGACTCAGGATGATGAGTTCTCTGTTCTTGAGTTCTCTCCTGGCTTCTGCTGTGAGCGAATCCGCTCTGCAGCGCTCGCAGCCTCGGATGTCCTGGCCATGCGTCGTATCACTGGTGCCTGGGTCAGCCCGCTCCATTGGTCACCGTTGCGCAAATAGCTAGGAAACAAGTTCCCTGATACTTGGACTTCCCACCATGGACATGTCTTGCGATCTTTGGTTGGAGGCAGCCACTGGCCTCAGGCTCGTTTGTTTGGCCACGACAAGAGTGTTCATGACAGGTGTTGTCTATGTGAAGGTGCGCGCGGCGCCATCTACCATCGGATGCATGAGTGCCCTTGCATGGCGGACGTTCGGCGGGAGGAGTGCCCCGCGTTCTTGCAGGACGCGGCCAGGAGAGTCAGGGACAAATGCGGAGAGACGGCTGCTGAGCTCTTTTGTCGCTGTCTCTTTCCATCGCCAGCTCGTTGCTTCCCTGAGCCCATCCCCAATCCTGAACACCTTCGGAGGTGGTTCGGAGTTCCTGTGGTTTGGCGTCTCTCGGGACCTGCCTTTGTGGACGGCAGTGCGTACCGCGCGTCGTTGGCTGGTCTTAGTCGAGCGGGCTGTTCGATTATCAAAACGGACCCAGCTGGGCAGCTTGCGGCAGCAGTCTATGGGATTG